GTATAACACAACTTGAATACTGAATTCTGATTGGCTATGTGCATTTAGAGAGGTTAGTATAATATAGAAAATCTTTTAAGTAAATGTGCATTTATGGAGGTTGCATTTATGGAGATTTGACTATAGTCGCCCAAAGTGGTTGTGCTATACTAAGAGTTCTACACTATCTGCTGTACCTGTATTCCAACTACAGGGTACCCATTTAAACTTTCTGGTTTTAACATATTTGGCCTGATACCCATCTTAACATGAGTATAACTCACTATTCAAACATAGGTTTTGCGATACTACTACATAAACAGCCAACTTAGGACACTTTACTATTCTTGAAAATAAGCCTAACAGAGCAGTACATGTCCCACATATGTATTCACCTACATGTTTTGTAATATCTTCCTAGTTAGTATCTGTTAATAGATATAATTATAGTTTCTTTAAATTTATACAAAAATTTATTAAATAAAAATATCTTGAAGATCTAAATAAAGTTGTAAAAAGGATAATTTAGAATTTTAAATATTTTTATAATATTTTTTTTATCAAATTGTTTCAAATTTGGTCTAAGATTTAAATTTAAGTTTTAGCAAATTTTTATTTTTTTTTATTTTGATAATATTATACTAAACTTTATTAAATTTTTGGCTCTTAATGCAACTTTAAAATATTGTAACATAGTAATATTTTTGGGTTTAGTATTTTGTGGTGGTCATGTAGTCACATGACACAGTTGAACTCTTTGCACCACAACCACTACTAATTTATTTTTCAATTGTTGTATAAATTAATACATATTTTTTTTTATTTAATTATTATTATTTACATCATTTTGCTATTTATTTATTTGTGATATATAAGTTTGTTATACATAATTCTTATGCATAAAATTATTTTGCATAACTAGGGCCAGTTAACAGTTTAAAGATTGTATTTAAAATAGTTAGTATTAGCAAAAAAAAATTATAAAAAGTATGTAAACTGCTCTTTTGTAAAAACATGATCCACTATCATGTCTTAGTAACTATCTAAATAAAACACCTCTTCATCTTGAATCTCTTCTAACAAAAGCCTAACCCATCCTATAACCAAATATTTCAGTTACAATATTAATAAATCTGTTTAAGCAATATCTAGTCTTTTCTGTTTCAAGATACCTAAATATAGTTATTGTATTAATAATTGCTATTATACCTCACATGTGACATAGCACATTTTAGTGTTTCTATGAACCTGAACTGAACTGAACCTTGGTTAAGGCCCAGGTATTATTCACTACCCATCTGGCTTAATTCTTAAATAATACCCGGGATAAAATTATATTTAATTTATTACTTCATATGTTATATCCCCCACATATAGTACCCGGTTCCTCACACAGTACCCACGGGTGCTATTCAATTTAAAAAATGGTGTTTTTGAAGACCCTGGGTATGCAGTGCTAAACGGTACTAATGACAGCTAACCAACGGGATGTACGGTAGGCATACTGATCGCCCGTCAGGTTAAAATCCCGAAAATACTAAAATCCTAATATGATCGGAATTTTTAACCTGACGGGATTTTGGTACTTTCGGGATTTGAGTGTCGGGATTTTGGATGTCAGGTAGAATCCACTATGACATCTATCAACAACACTATTGGCGTAGCGATTAAGGTTGCTGAACAGCGACTAACCAATAAGATGTGATTGCACTATGTCAATTCGAACGTAGTGAAGACTAAAATCCAACAGAACATAGGGGCACTGTAAAGTGATCTCAGAGCTGCTAAGTATAATCGGTGTTCATATCTTTTATTGGACATAAAGTCCTCCTGCTCTGTACTCAAAAAACTTAATCAATGACCACGTCTCATTTATGTTAAAGTACCCTACACTACTGCTTCTATTTGTTTTGTGTGGCATGAGTAGAGTAATCAAAACACGCGCCAACCAATTATTTTAGTGAACTTCTGTAATTTTGACCAATCAAAATTTGAGATCAGGTGTAACGTGATAGTCGGTTTTTCGCGTTATAGAGTTAGGGTTAGAACAATTTTAAATTTTTGTTCTTTGTAAAAAGTGGTTTCGCTTCGATTTTTACGTTCCAATATTACAGAGAATGAACAATTTTTTGTGGGAGAACTAGGGGCGTTATCGCGTTATCGCATGATTGTGGCGAACGATTACACCAATAAATCCTTTGAGATTGAGTCCTAATCGATTATTCCAGCGCTAGGGATTGTTTAAGACTCATTCAAAAGGTCGCCTGACGCCTTAGAAGCACATATCTGCGCCAAAATCACAGTCGAATGTGGCGCAGTAATATACTCAATATATCACGGGATATGATCCAAATGGTATCGGTAGTAGTTCTAACCTTTGAACGTTCAGTAATGGATCAAGCAACAAAAATACAGGAAGAATTCATAACTCTGGATGGTAGCTTACTTGAAGGTGGAGGGCAAGGTATTAATTGTTAGTCTTATACTTCCGCGAATAATTTTCTAAATTTCTAATAAAATATTTGTAAAGTGCTTCGGAATTGTATAGCCTTCAGGTGGCGTATTATTTTAAAAAATTTTATGCTTCGAAAATCCTTACTCCTTTCCTTACTTTTGTTTTCCTCTGACTTGCTTCATAGTTGTCTTACGAATAAGCCGGTTCGAATTATTAATATCCGTGCAAAGCGCGATAAACCTGGTTAGCCACCTCTGTTCAACTAGTTACTATTAGATTAAATGTATTCTTTAACTATTTCTAATGAATTCCATTTTTTTTAATAATTAGGTCTTAGACCACAACATTTATCCGGCCTTCAGCTTGTACGTGACATTTTCAATGCAGATTTACAAGGCGATAAGGTAACATCATATATATCAATAGCTTATATAAATACATTAACGTACAATCTTATCTACAAAGTATCTAGTAATATCATCAAATCTTCTAGATTGGTTCCAAAGAAATTTTGTTTCGTCCAAATGATGCGGATCAAAGTAAAACTTTCATATGTGACATTAAGACAGCAGGGTAATATTTAATTTAATGCCTTGGACTTTTTTATTTACCTACTGTAATTTATCAAATTTATTTCATTTATTATTTAAATTTCAGAAGCATATCATTATTGATTCAGATCGCATTACCACCATTGATTTTTTCTGCTCCGCCCCAAAAATCAAAGTTACCTTTACCACCTAGAACACAGAAGGCTATTCTTAAAGGTGGAACTAATGTCGAAATGGCGCCACCAATTGATTTTTTAATTGAGGTATTATTAATTTCTAATTTATATCTCACTTTATTACTTTAACGTAACCTTATACTTCACTTTTATTTCAAAGGTGTTTAGGCCGATTGTTCAACGTGTATTTGGCTTCAATTTTGACATTAATGTTATAGGCCGTGGGTCTGTCACAGTAATTCATGTCTTCATATTAATATTACGTGTAAGCTTGATGTAAGATCTGAATGTTCTATTCGTATATTAGTTATCATCCTCAAGGTGGTGGTGAAGTCATTTTAAGTGTAGACCCTTTAGTTAAACAAGCCTTAAAGCCATTAAATATGATCGACCGTGGTAAAATAATTAATATCAAAGGGTAAGCTTTTAATTGAGCATGTTTTTACCTGGTAACCAAATGATAAACATGTTTAACATATACAGTACCCTATTTCATTTATTATATTTTAAAATATTTATTTTTAAGGCGCGTGACTATTGCAAATTCTCCAAAAGAAGTAATTATAGATGCTTTGCTATCCGTCACTTGTACTTTTAATTAAAATGTATCCCCAATTTGTTCAATGCGTCTCAGATTGCTACTAAAATAATTTCGGGTGTAACTCAAGAATTTTCTAATGCGTCGGTGCCAGAACTCAACAATATTAAGCCGGATATAGAAACTAATACTAAAAAGATCGCCTCTGGCAAAGGTTACGACATATTGTAGGTTACTACAGGATATATATATATATATTTATTTATATAACTATACATTACATTACCTATAATGTATACAATGTATGCTCTTTTTACAGATTATGGGCAGAGACAAGTTCAGGATGTATAATAAGTGGTAATGCGGTTGGCAGCAGAGGTAGATATTTACTCTCTCATTTTAATAAAATAATATCTTTTACGATATTACGATGGAATTATTTACTATCTAGTTCTATAATAAAATACTCCAATCAATATTAGGGCAATCACCAGTGGATGTAGGAAAGAGAGCTGCTGAAGAGCTTTTGCGTAATATCAAGCATGGTGGATGCGTAGATGAGTATGTTGCTTTATCGTTGTTACCCTATTTTGTGTAATCTCGAGTTCTCTAACTATACAATTCATTGCCTTAAACATATAAGGTATCTTCAAGATCAACTAATAATTTTTATGGCGATCGCAGAAGGAAAATCACAGATTGTTACTGGTTATTACAAATTTACTTTTATAATAGTTGTGGGGACTGAAGCTAAAATTTGAGTCTTTATTTGAATCTGCTAAAAACTACATATACTCCTTTGTTAATAATTCTAATGAAAAAACTCACCCCAAAATTTAACAAAAATAGGTCAAGTTTTTAACTTCAGTCGCCACAATGTTTTTATTTGTAATTATATATATATATTATATATATTCATAAATAATTTTTAATAGGTCCAATTACTTTACACACTCGCACAGCTATATATTTTGCTGAAATAATGTTAGGTGTTAAGTTTAATATCAATAAACTTGAATTGTCCGAATCGCAACAATGTGTACAGGAACATAGTGAATGTCTAGATAATGAATATAATGATGGTTTGTATATGATTGAATGTGAAGGTATAGGGATAAAAATTGCTAGGTGATTAACACTCACTCCGTGTCATTCAATAATTTTGTTTAAGAATGTATTTTTTATTTAAATTAATTGGATGTAACTAATGTAGTATTAACTAATAGTGCACTGTTGTATGGTCTTCTGATACAGTAGCTATTAATTTTACTAAATTTGAAAATGTCTTAAAAATTCTATTTGCAAGGTAACCTATTTAATTAGTATTAATGCATTTCTTTAAATACGTAATAGGCAGCGTGCATTTGTATCGTATTAATTAGGATTTATAAATGTACAGTATTATGCGTAATATATTCGCCTATCATTTTATCTTTTCAAGCATCGATAAAATTACAATAATTGCAGATACATTTTTACCTTTTACAAGTTGAGAATTCTGATTCAATTTTAATTCATGCTAAACGGTCGCTACAGAACTGTAGATCCAATGTGATCAAAAATGGATTAAACAGTGTTGAAATATTTTATGAACGGCCAACAAGTTTAGTCTTAAATGAATGCTATGAACACTAGCATTCATTTAAGTACAATTCATTGAAACCGAATTAGCCCTTCTTGGTCATGTAACGGTAATAATGATATTTCGTGAACGCCAAATAAGTTTTCGATGATTTTGAGCTTAAACGAAACTTGTTACCCGTATATTACCGAAAATAAGCAACCCCCCAATTTTGAAAATTTTTTTTCTAAGCTTTGGACCCGAAAATAAGCTACCCCCTCTATTTTACCTGGAAAAATCAAAAAAATTTTGGTTGCTTATTTTCGGTAATATACGGTATTTATAATATTCGTTTAACAATTTTAAAAATGGTTTAGTCATTCTTAATACGGAAAAATTTGTTGTGCATTGTTTTTTCGGGATTTTTTTGAATAAGCTTATGTATAAAAAACGTAAGTGCACCCACGCCATAATACCCGTCCTACCCTTATATCATACAACTTATTCACGCATATGGGTCATATATTTTTCGACATCATACAGTACGCACATAGTATTTATACAGTCAGACCTCTAAATGCATAGCCAAAAAATCTTGCAATTAGAGGTTTTGAGGTAAAAATCTATAAATGTCATATGAGTTTAGGGAATATGCATTTAGGGAGGTCTGACTGTATAACAATATATATAGTCAATTTTATAGGTTGTACGTATAAGGGAAATTTATATCATTGTAACGGTAAGTGTTAACTCTCAGTAAAGCTTTTCTCCACAATATCCACATCGTTTTTAAGAAAATTGAATCTGAATTGGACTGAAGTAGAGTATGCAATTTGCATGTAACATGTTATTTTCTTCAAGCTTTTTTTTTTTTATTAAAAAAAAGTGCGAAACTAATTTCGATTGATTAGAATTGAAATTTTATTTTATACATTCACATTTGAATTTTCTTCTGAATTACGTCACTTATAACGAACTGGATATTTTTTCCGAGAGTTAACACTTTCTGTATTGAACTGACATAAGGTTTAAACCCTTGATAGCTTGTTATAATGATAAAGGCGTTTTCACATATGTGCACATATGCGAAAAATATATGACCCATATGCGTATCTAGTAATACGAGCCGATGAAAAAATCATGGGCAGGTCGATCCTAAAAGTTCGGGCTGACCTTTTCACAGAGTTATCTATATCAAACGCGTAAAAAGTCATTAATTGGTTCTTACCAAATTCTAGTGATACTGTTTGAGGAATTCTAGTACCCGGACATTTATTTCCATTCTTTATCATTGTTATGTTTATTAATTACCAATTTATCATTTAAATTAACCAATAAATATCACATTCAATTTCTTAGCCTGAAATATCAGAATATGCTTTACAGTACAAGAGAATCTTTTATCGACCATAAAGGTGTAGGCTGAGAGTTGAACCAGCCCGTATCGGTATCACTATGCACATCGTGTTCCCATCATAACCAATACCTGATATTGTGATGGAATAATGGTATATAATAAATTAATTTTGATCGTACAAATATGTTTGTACGAGCAAGCACAAGCCACCAATCGTTATTTACTGATTTGATTTAATGATTAGCATGATTAGAAGTTATCTCTTAAAAACGCATATTTAAACCCTTCCGTTCTTTTTCGTGCCTTAGCGAATGTTTGTTCAATACAGGAGCAGATCTTGTCAGCCAAACACAAAAATGTCATCAAACACGAAAGATTACAAATTACTGATTGAAGAGGATAATGCCAACACTACAACATACCAACCACCCTTAATCTCCATGAAAGATAAACTTTCTTATATATCATCATTGGGAATACTTCCAATTTTAACCTATTGTGCTGCTAGTATCTTGATGACTGTGACAAATAAATATGTTCTGTCCGGATACGAGTTTAATATGAATTTTCTACTGTTAGGCATCCAGGTTTTTTCAATGCTCATTTAATTTTATATTCATTTCCATCTATTTAACATAATTAATGATATATATATATATTAATAAATAGTCGATATCGTGTGTTGTGCTCCTTCATACTTTCAAACCTTTTAATCTAGTTACTTTTCGAAAGTTGGATTCAGAAACATCTAAAAAATGTTAGCATCAGTTGTTTCTTTAATTGATCTTTTCAAGTGCCCCATTGACATTATATATTTTTGCAGGGTTTCCCGTTGCTGCATTGCTTGTAGCTATGATTTACACGGGAAGCAAAAGGTAATAATTTCTCATTCATATCTTTTAATTTTAAACAATTTATTTATTTATTAGTCTAATCTCATTCGTTTAAATATGTATAGTTTACAATATTTATCAATTCCTGTATATACAATTTTTAAGAATTTGACAATCATCCTCATTGCGTACGGAGAAGTATTATGGTTTGAAGGAAAAATATCAAGACTAACCATGGCTAGTTTTTTATTAATGGTATTTTTTTTATTTGATTATCCGTGTTATGGCTCTGATTTTATTTTATATTGATATGAATTTTTTTTTGATCACTCATATAAAAAGGTTATGTCGTCAATTTTAGCTGCATGGTCTGATATTTCTGCTACATTTTCCGAAGCATCATACGTATCATTAGATCCCGGCTATTTTTGGATGGGTTTCAACTGTTTTTCTTCTGCCGCCTACGTCTTATCCATGAGAAAATATATAAAATCTATAGGGTTCAAAGATTTCGATACTGTATATTATAATAATTTCTTATCAATACCTTTGTTGATAATATTGAGCTTCACGATTGAAGACTGGAGCGTTAAAAATTTAGAAAAGAACTTGTAAGCACTTGATTAGAGTTTATCATTTAATGTCCTTTACTAATGTTTAGTTTCTTCAATTAGCCCAGTCGAAGTTCGAAGTACGCTCATAATGGCTATTTTATTCTCCGGCATATCAGCATTTGCCATTTCATATGCTTCAGCATGGTGCGTCAGAGTTACATCTAGTACAACCTATAGCATGGTGGGAGCATTAAATAAATTACCCGTTGCTGCAAGCGGGATGATTTTCTTTAATGATCCTGTCAATTTCGGCAATGTATCCGCTATAACAGTTGGTAAGTTATTGTATTTTTGTTCCTGCTGGATTTTAGGATTTAGAACATTTATGTAATATATATATTTTTTTTAAAGGATTCATTGCTGGAATTCTGTATTCCATGGCAAAATCTGTTCAAGTTAATGATAAACAAAACACCAAGGATTTTCTTCCAAAACCTGTATCAAGTCAGCATAAGGAACGCTAATCACGAATAAGGGAGCATGTTTATTTAATTATTTAAACTAATACATCATCATACAGTTAATTTATAAAGTTACTACGTTTCATTAGGTATAATATCAAAATAATGGTGTTCTAATTTCTTATTTTATGTAAATTCACTTAGCACATTACATTAATGTCATAGAGTATTTTTCATAGACACTAATACTTAATAAAATAAAATAAACGCAAACCTCATTAATAAAATATAAATAGGGCAACACGTACCTTACGGCGGTGATGTATGTATATAGTAATTATACATTGGGTGTCATGTAAAAACCCTAATGTATTATTGATCTATACCCGGATCTTGATATAGTAACCAGGGTTTAACCAAAATTAAATCTTTTATACTGAAAAAAACTATTACTTTTAAGTAGTGTTTTGGGCGAATTTGAAATATTTCACCCGAGCGAATTAT